GAGGAACGGCAGTAGCAACATAAGCTAAAGGTAGGTACCTGTACCCATATACTAGATGCCCGAACACAAAGGACCTGAGGAGTTTGAGAGGTGTGCCGTAATAGATTGCATTATCTTCAAGAGGAAAAAACATGTTGAGACTGAAAATCAGATCTCTGACTCAAATATGAATGAAGAATCTTGTCTTTGGGCATTCACATTTGTAGATTTTTTGCCTGATGTCTTTCATACTAAGAGCCGGGTGACTTTCAGAGTGCATGCCATTAATTTGCATATACCTTAGGCCTCACAGTTGTTTTCGCTCAAACTCTACAGAAAGAAAAATTACTTGATAGATTAGTAGATACGATACAGGTTCAGCACTATACCTTCTTGTCAGCATAGGCAAAGTGCCGTGCAATGTCAGCACCAAAACACTGTCCTCCTAGAAAGTACAGAAATCTTCTCACAGTGGGATTCTCTATGTTAACCTAATTCCCATGCCAAACTACAATGTTCTCCATGCTGCTAAATAAAAGCAGAACTACACAGCTGTTCAGAAAGATACAAAGTTAACTATATACTGAATATCCACCTTAAGTCAGTCTCAGGAAAAAAAAGCAGAGTTACAAATGCTCTCTGGCGCCTGTGGAACAAGTGGACATAATTTTTCCTCCCATCCTTTTTGTTCTCCAGGCATTGCCATAAAATCCCTTCCAAGTCAAGCTATCATTTTGCTCCCTCTAATCTAATTAATCACCCCTGGTCCTGGAAAGACTGCTGATACGGAATATTCTGCCAGAGCAGTACAGATTTAACTCTAGAGAGCCCCAGAGTTTTATAAACCATCTCTGTACGTCAGCAATACTTTCACAACCACCTCCTAAAGGCAGCCCTGCGGTCCCATGGTCATTGCAGAACCTCTGTGCCCCGCAAAGAGCGGCACAAGCATTAACACTGTATATGCGGTCTTAACATCCAGTAGTTCAGCAGCCTTTTCCGTGGAACCAGCAAAACCATTTGTGTAGAGGTGGATGTGTAACCCCAGCATATTTTCTTTTGCAGAGGTCCACACAGAATATATTTTAAATTTCTCCATTAAAAAAAATAGTTATTTCTAAAGATTAGAATTGTATAAAAATATGTTCATAATTAATTGAAAATATCCAAATAAGCAAATCGTAAACAAAAATAAAAGTGATGCGGATTAAATTCATGTGAAAGTTCTGCCTATGTTATGCTGGGCTTCATTTCATGTGTACAGTCTCTGGATGTTTTAAGTGGGAAACTTACTAAGCAAGGAGTAATTAGATGTACGCAATCATCAGCCAGTCCATTATAAACTCAGCTTTTAAAAATAAGAGATTACCTCCTGAAGTGGTAATGTTTTAATATGGACACGATGGGGTCTCAGCTGTATTCTTGATAATCAGAGACACTCACAACCTAACTAGATTTTAAAAAAATGGCAGTTTTTTCTTAGGAACAGCCTTAGAAAACAATTTTTAGTAAGTACTAGATTGCACATGGAACAGCAAGTAGTTATTTTGTCCAGTTCTGCCTTAACTTGATGTGAACTTTTAAGCATTTCCCATAACACAGAGTCTGTACAAGGGCATATACAGAAGACAAACCATTTTATGTGTATTTTGTAACACCAATCAAAATTGGGGGTATCAATCTAAGACTCTCAAGAATGTGTATAAAGTTAGTATTTTAACCACTGCATCACAGCTCATATTACAATTTTAAGATGAATCATCTCTCTCCCTCTGCATTTATATTTGTATTATATATATTCATTTATACTAACAAATACCTTTCAAAAATATAACTGAACTTGTTCCATATGCATTCTTTTCATGACAATGTTCAGAAGTTAAATGGGTACTTAGGACAACTGCAATTCATTCATGCATTTTAGATGCCTCGGGGACAGACGAGGTCTTTTTCTACTCCCCTTTATCTCCACCCTCCCAGCAAAATACTCAGAGCTGAGACAACTTCCAACTACAGAGTCAGGAGCACATGTCTCCGGCTTTGGACTTCCTTCAACAATCTGCTACAGCTGGCACAGTGATGTCAATTACCAATTCATTAAATCCTGTGTGGTTGGTGGCCTTTTTTTTTTATTATTATTCTCCCAGAAGACTGCTGAATGCAGATATTAGACAAGTCATTAACCAGTTACATTCACTGCCCTCAACACAGTCACTTGCAACTAATTCCTTAAGAGCTTTTTTGAGCAAGTAACAAGGGGCCAACACAGCCTATTGTACAAGACGCCATTGCCTGCTTATCAGACATTTGAATCCTCTATGATACAGGGAAACTTCTAAATGGAGCCTATACCAGCTGCTCCCCCGAAGGCAACAGCAGATGCTGGCGTTGCATTCTCATTCCAACTAGTTTTCTCACAATGATCGCCGTCACGTAGATCCTTTTGCTTGTTGTCAGGAAAAATGAAGCTTATGTATCAGCAGCTTGCAGCATCTGCCTATGTAAGATCAGCAATCCTAGTGTTTGCAGTTCTTTTAAATGGTTGTAAAAGCTGGTTATAGTGTTCACACCCAAAAGGCAAAGGCTATTTTATCAACAGAGCAGACTGTTTGGTGCTCCACAAGTGTTCTAAAAAAACCATGAGTTAGAAAAGATGGGGTAATCCTTTTGTTATTTTTCTTTTCATTAAACGATTCTAGTAATAGTCTTCATAGTTCTTAGGGTTCAGGCAATAAAGAATGGCACCCCCAAATGAAAATATAGTTGCACCCCAAGCCAGGCCATAGCCCCAGTTGAACTCATGGTATATTTTCAAGCTGACTGTTTCGATGAACTTGATTGGGTAAAGGACTAAGCTGCACACCTGAAGAACAACTGAAAGAGAAAAAACCCATATGTCAGAAGAAGCCTTAATTCATTTCCGTAAACCAAGGAAAACATCACATAACTGAAATTCACATTTAAAATGCTCTTGGTGCATTTTTAGCTTGTATGTACTACTTTTTTTTGAAAAAAATATCACCTTCATTTCATCCATAGAGAACAGAGCAGTTCTTCCATATTCCCTCACTGGTGAACAAATGTTATTGCTATGGTATAATGATGATCCTTCAGATGTCCAAGAAACAAACAGTGAAAGCAGTCTTTTCCCAACTCTTTTCTGTCTCTCCTTTGTATTTTAGCTTGCAGTTATTATTCCTTCCATAATAACAAAACTAAGATCACTTCTTCTATAGCTATTATAAACAAGTCAAAACGAGAAGTAAGAATAAACGAATATTAGAAATATAGCTCAGAATCAAATAATTTACTTAGCCTACAAATAATTCACTGTAGTAGGCGATACATATTTATGTTCAGTAGAGACTCACTGAATTACGTATTTCATATGCATTACTGTGTACTGTAATCAGAATTAATGATATTGTTACACAGTATACCAAGGAATCTATAAAGTTTGATCAGTCACTAAACTTCCAACTGGCAAAACATTGCCTTGTATTACAAATTTAGGGGGTGGGTCAGAAATGCTTAATGATGAAAAACAGCTAATAAAACAGATCAAATCCAAGGCAGTAAAAAGCTTAAAAATCATTACTTTCTACAGCACTGTCTCTGAGCGAGCCAGATCTCCTGCAGCCTGATCCACACGTCTGCAGTGGAATTCAGCAAACCTGTTAATTATTGTGCTACATCAAAAAACCCCACATACAGTAACCTGAAAAGGAAAATACACAAATGAAGAACCCCGATTTTCACAAGAAGATTTCAGTTTCATCAGCATCCATTCTCTTTTGCATTCAGGCACACTGTTAACAGAAAACTGGGACAACAGTTTCCAAGGTAAGCAGGTGAAAATTACACTTGGTTTGAAGACAAGAACAAGCTGTATGATGTAGTGATTCTTCAGGTCTCTAGTTCTGCCACCCACAAAAGACTAAACATCACAGGAAGGTACAAAACACCTTTTCTGCCCTCAAATATATCACATGGCCCTATCGCAGTGCTCCCTTCCAGCATTTAGCACTAGCAATTTTTAAAGACTTCAGCACATGACTGCCTCTGCAAACTGCCCCAACCCCCTGATTACAGTCAGGGTGGGCACATCCACGCAGTTAAGCACGTGCTTAAGTATTCGCAGGCCTGAGACATACCATGATGAAAGTTCAATGGTATGCAATGTCATGCTATAGTAACTACTTTGTTTAACATTGACTGGGTCATTTTTACAGTTTATTAAGTATTGTAAGAAGAACAAACACTATTCAGAGAATTGATATAAAGCCAGCACCAATATAAAATGCCAGTGGATAACAGAAAGGAAGACTACTTTGGACTACAGAAGCCCTTCTGAAATTACACTAAGAAATTACAGGAAAATAAAGTAACGTTAGTTATATTCTCCTACTGCTTGAACACTTCACGTACTCAAAATCTGTCACTTGCCTTTTCAGTCCCACATGCACTCTTTAGTGTTGTCAAATTGGCACCTTTCATCAGCCCTGGAGACTAACGCTCTCCTGTCCTCTGGATGGGGACTGGTATGGGGAAATGATTTCCAATGTTCATTACACACCCTTGGTGATGATACTTTACAAAACACTCATTGGGAATTTCTTCCCCTCCCTCGCCATCCACTTAGCCTACAGACTAGTCTTTGGACTCTTACATGAGACTGACAATCTGAATAATGTTTGGATAGTGGATTTTCTGATGTGGATACCAAAATCCACAGGATTTTTTTAATCCTAAAGTTATTGAAGTGTTACTTTGTGTTATTCCATTTTAATATAATTTTTGTCTGCCAGCTCACAAAATACTGCGCAACACCGGAAAAATTTTGACAGGGTACACTAGGGGAAGCACCTACACTTATGAAAAGATTATGCATTCCAATTCTGTATAATGAGAGCATCATTACACCCAAAAATACCTGAACATATGCTCAGCTTTCAGACACATCTTTAAGACCATTCAAAGTCAAAAAGGATTACCTAAGATGAATGGATATAAGCAAGTTCTTCAGTGGCTTCCCAAACGCGGGCTGCAGCACCTCTGCAGAATCAATACAGGAATTGCTCTGTGTGTGTGCGCGCGTCTGTGTCTGTGTGTCAAGTTCCAACCAAGGAAGCTCTCCACGTTCCCTCAATCTAACATATGAAGTATGCTGAACTTTAATCTACAGATTGGACTTGCCAAAACAAAACAAAAAAGTGATTCTGTTGGAAGAGGAAGGTGTGGCTAAAGGAGCAACACCCACAACAGGTATTTCAGCCATTTTTATAGTGAGGGTTCCTGCTTTTGCTACTACTGGTCCAGCTACACTATTGTGAAACTCAGAGGAAGTGCTGGCAGCAACTGGCCAGCGGAAACAGTCACACTGCGTAATGCTGCCATTGCTTTGCGCTATTTTTGCCTCCTTTCATTGATTCTCCCTGTAGAGTGGGAAGGGACCTGTGTAGGCTAGAAACAACAGTGAAGTTATCAAAAATGACCAGTATGACCCAAAAAGATGTTAAAACCAATACTTGCAACTACTGATCTGCTTCCAATTAATTTAAAGGAACTCCATGCTATGTTGACCTGCTTATGGGAAGTGTGTGTACTGCCTTTCTTCAGAAGTGCTACTCTTTTCCCATAGAAAAAAAGGCTGCAAAAGAAATCTTAAAAAAAAATCCACTTTAAAATGCTACTGAAAAAAAAATAGTCATCTCAAACTAGACTATTCACTTCAAGTTTAGACCCATTATTATGACTAGCACTATAATGCTTGCAAGATAATTGCACAGGAACAGGAATACTAGTTTTATTCCATTTACATGAAATATACGCAATTATATGTACTCACCATATTAAACACACAGAAATCACAACAAACACTTTAAAACTAGGAAAATATAATTTCAGTCATCTTTTTGTCATTCATACTTAATACAACCTATGCAATTAATTGGGAAGCAGCATGAAGAGAAAGGCAGTCAACGCTAATTTTTAAAATACTGCTAGCTCAAGAACAGACCACTCTGCTACACAGGCAGACCAGGAATT